TACGAGTAAGCATCTTTTCCACGCCCACCTTGTCAAGACCGTTCAGGATCTTGAACACCAGTGAAATCATTCCTTGCTCTTCTGAACTCTTTAGCCTTCTTAATTACTTGCTGTTTCTACATGCAAAAATTTTGATTTGTATTGGAACATCTAGATCTCTGCACATCTGAATTCTAGTCATTTTCTAATGATTAGTCTGCTTTTTTTATTCTTCCTGCCAAAGAGGAGAAATTCACATTTTTCCATATTACACTCCATCTCATTTTTGTCTGCTCACTCAGCCTATTGAGGTCAGTCTGCATCCTTGTCATCTTCAACTTACTTTCCTAATAATCTTGGTCAGCTCCAAACAGCCACCATACCTTCAATCCCCTTATCCAAGTTGTTGATATAAACTTGGAAATGTTAGGGCCCAGGACCCACTTGTCACATTCTGCCAATTTGCAAAAGAATTTATGCATACTGTTTTCTGCCAGCCAATCTTCTATCCATACCAACCTAAACTGAATCTTACCCCTATACCATGAGCTACTACTTTGGACAAGACCATTGTGGAACCTTAAATCTTTTTTGGAATTTCAAATACACAGAACATTAAACGACTCCCCTTTATCCAGCACATGTTATTCCTTCAAAAGAATTCAAATAAGTCTGGCAGACTTGACTGTGCCCAGTTATATCCTCAATTGTTTCTGAAACCTTTCCCATCACATGCACCAAGCTAACAGACCTATATTTTCTTGGTTTGTCTCCCTCTATTCTTGAAAGAAACAATATTTGCTACTTGCCTGAATTTTTTTTGGAACATTAACACCAATCTCATTAGCCCCCCCTGAAGATCCTAGGAGGATGGCTAAACCTCCTGGATGCCTATCAAGCTGGAGCTTGATAGTTTGCCAAGTCTGGCTCCCTAGTAATTCTAATTTCACCAAGTTGCTCTTCCTCCAGCTTCCAGATTTACAAGTATTACAAGTGTTAATATTTTTGTATGCTCTACAGTGATGAGAAGCAAAATATTTTGTTACATCAGACATTTCTTTATTATCCAATTTAAACTCCCCATTCTACCCCCAGAGGACTTGCATTCATTTTACTTTCTTCCCCTCTTAGATACACTTAGAATTTCTTGTAATTGGTTTTATATTTCTAGTTAACTACATGCTGTAATTCATCCTGAATAACCTTTTAGTCAAGACAGGAATTCAGAGATAATTCCTCATTACTTAAGTACAAAAGAGAAAAAGCTTAGATTATATAAAATAAGGTTTGGTAGTAAAACATGACAATTCTCCAAGCTTTGATCTTTTAAAGAACTTGTTAGCACCTGAATTCCATGAGAAAGGACTTGAAAAGTATTTGAGTGCCTTTGGGTAACCTTTAGAGTCTCAGTTACATAGCTTATGGAGAGATGTAGCAGAATTGGGTGGCAAGGCCCATTTCAATAGAGATCATTTTGATCCACTGTTTATGCTTTTAAAAAGTGGCCTCATTGCTGCCTGACCAGTGTTTAATGTAATGCCAATTGATGAGGATGATACTACCAATACCTTGTGAATATATTCAAGGGAGCAAGGGATAAACCAGGGTAGTCAACCTAACCTGTTAGTGAAGCTATTGGAACCAATTCTGAGGGACAATTAATCTGCATTTGGAGAGGCAGGGATTGATTGAGAATAATCAACATTGTTTTAAAGGGAGGTCATGTTTGACCAACTTGATCCCACCTGGTCCAGAAGTGGGAACATCTGGACAGGTTTATTAGAAACTAGATATTTAAAAGCAGGCAGGCATGGTGGGTTGATTAGCCTCATCCTATGCTGTAAAATGGATTCTCTGGTTTTAATTCAGTCTGAGCTGAGTGGACTTTGTCATTTTAAGACTAAATGAGATTGTGGCGTTGGTAGTGTCCCTACTTAGCCAGTTGACCTTGGTTCAAGTGCCACCTGCTCCCAAGGTGGGTAATAACCTTGGAAACAGGTTGACTAGAAAACTGATTTTTTTTTTTTAAAAAAAGAATCAGTGGGATACCATGGGTGATTTGGTGACACATTCAGTTGTGAGAATACTTCTGGATATAGGAAAAGAATCAATGGGATAAAATGGCTTGTAGCCCAGTGGTAGGTGTCCCCACTCAAGTTAGAAGGCCTGAGTTGAAGTTCCACTTGCTCCAGGATTGGGAATTAAAACAGGCAGATTAGAAAACCTTGGAAGCCTGGATCCAGATGCTCCTCACCCTTTTAGCTGTAAAAACAAGATTATGGTCTACACCCTGTTTGCAATCACTTGGTACTCTTCTAGGTTAAATGAAGTTAACTCAATGTTAGAATGTCAATCTATATTGGCTATACTTAGGCAGAATACTGTAATCAGGTTAATCAATTAGTGCTTTCTTTCAGATTATAAGTGACTTAGTTTAGCTATAAAAAGTGCTATCTTCAAAAGTTTCCCACTAACCTTACAATTCCTCCCCTGGAGGTTGGAAAGGCTCAATAATTCTCTTGTATAGCAGTTGTAAATACAATTCTAACATCAACATTTTATCACCTATTTGCATGCTCTAAGTTAGCTTAAAGTAGAAGCTTGGCTCCATGTGGGATCAGTCCTGTGTTTAAATTACAGGTGACATCACATGTAAATGTTTGTGTGAAGCTAAGGATAGCTCACTTAATTACTTTTACCCCACATTTAAAAAAGTGACCAATTCCAAGTTCTCATGCTGTTCAATTACATTTGGAGGAGCTGATGCAAAAGATTATGGTCCTGATCCTACTGATTTTAAATACTTTCCATACTATCTCTGAAAGGGAGCCATCATTCTTTATCTTTAAAAAATGTAATTGTAACTAAACAAGTCAGTGGCCATACTATTGAGGAAATGGAGTCTCAAATATTATTTTTGAGATGTGCAAGTCATTAAAAACACTTCCTTGGAATCATTTGCTTTTATAGGACAAGATCTTACTTTCTCACCCCTTTGCCTTAAAAAGGTTAAAGTATGATCAAGAACATTAAGTGATGACCTGCTTAAATCACCTACATTTGTATAATTGAGATTTCAGTTTATCCATTTGTCTTAAAATTCAGCATATCCTATTGTCCATAATCTGAAATAATATCAACTCAGATTTATGCTCTTAATTTGGTTTTGTTCAAGTTCCTCACTTATAGATCACCACTCAATACTATTATTGTATATGGACTCAATTCTCCAGCTCTCCCTTAATCTGCATTCATCTTGAGGATACACACAAGCATACTCAGCCTTTAATTGTTCAAATCCAAATTTCCCTCATTGTTTTTAAATTGTGCTCACTTCAGCCTTTATCAATTTGATTAACTTCATCTGATTAAGGAAATAGCTGAAGGCACTGGATATTGCAAAGGCTACACAGGCCTGGACACCATTCCAGTAGTCGTATTGAAGATTTGGGCTCCAGAGCTATAACTGGTGTCTACCAGCAATTGGTAAGGTTGTTCAGGTATGACCCATTTACAAAAAAGGACAAATCAATGCAACCAATTACCACTCCACTCTACTCAGTAGGGATCATTAACAGTTACTTAGTAATAATCTCCTCTTGGATGTTCATTTTGGTTCTACTAGTGCCACACAGCCCTGACCTCAATACAGCCTTGTTTCAAAAATGGATAGAGCTGAACTCCAGAAGTTACGTGAGTGACTGCTTTGACACCAAGGCAGCTTTTGACCAAGTGTGGCATCAGGGAGCCCTAGCAAAACTAGAATCAATGAGGGGGTAAATTCTCTGCTGGATGGAGTCATACCTAGCACAAAGGAAGAGGGTTTGTGGTTGGGGGATCAGTCACCTCAGGTCCAGAGCAAAATCTTGGAGATAAATTTAGTTTTCTAGGCCCACCTTCAGCTGCTTCAGTAGCCTTCTCACCATTTTAAGGTCAGAAGTGGGGATGGTCACTGATTGTACAATGTTCAGCACCATTCACAACTCTCCAGATACTGAACAGCCTATGACCAAAATGTTGCAAGGCCTGAACAATATCTAGAGTTGGGCTTAGAAGTGGCAAGCAAGATTCATGCCACACAAGTACTGTCCAAGAGAATCTAACCTTTGAAACTTGACATTGTGGCATTACCATCACTGAATCCCCACTAACACCACTCTGGGGTTACCATTAACCAGGAACAGAATGGGCTGGTCACAGTGGCTACAAGAGCAGGTCAGACACAAGGAATTCTGCAGGAAGTAACTTGCCTTCTGACTCCCCAAAACCCATCCACTATTCAATTTAAAAAGGGACTTGAGGAGCAGCTTTTTCCACAGGGTAGTTTGTATGTGGAATGAATTGCCAGATGCAATGGTAGATGCATGCAGTGTTACAACATTTAAAGACATTTGGACAGGTACAGGAATCAGCAAGGTTTAGGGATGAGCTAAAAGCAGGAAAGTGGGACTAGTTTATTTGGGGAAGCTTAGTCAGCATAGAGGAGTTGGACTGAAAGGTCTTTTTCTATACTGTAAAATCACAAATAAAGTACTAGGCAGGTAATTCAAGCCAATGCTAAATAAATGTGAACAGGACTAAATGTCAATACTAGACTTAATGAAATATCTTATGCACAGAGTATTTGTTATAAAGTGAACTAGTTGTGTAAATAGATATAAGCATAATAGGGTTGGGGTTGCAGAGATGTGGCTACAAGGTGACCAGGAATGGGAACTTTTTTTTTAGTTCACAGGATGAAGGTATCAGTGGCTAGGCCACCATTTATTGCCCATCCCAAATTGTCTGGAGGGCAGTTAAGAGTCATGAAATCACATTTGGCCAGACCAGGTACAATGGTGGTTTCCTTCCCTAAAAAGTTGGTGAACCAGACTGATAACTGACCCCAAGGCAGTTTTTTTAGGAACAAGAGGAAATGGAGTTGGGTAACATTGATGATTAAAGAGGACATTCATACTGTAGTGAAGATAGATATTAGATCCAGTGAAGTTGAATCTGTATGGGTTGAACTTAACATTAAAGGGGCAGAAAATGACATTAGTAGTGCTGAGGAAGACATTAAACATGAAATTTCAGCCATGAGCAATAAAGGTACAGCTGTAATTTTGAGTGACTTAATCTGCAAATAGATTAGACAAATCAAATCAAAAAAATACCATAGAAAGGAAATTATTGCAGTGTGCATTAGATGGTTTTCTGGACCAATACATTGAGGAAGCAACTAGCAAGGTCATAAATGGTGTAAAGTGAGCAAGGAAATAATTGGTTATTTAGCCGAGAGGCCCCTCAGGGAAGTGTGACTATGGTATTATAGACGCATTATCATGGAGTACAACAGTGGATCCTGAGATTAAGGTCCTGAATCTTAACCAGAAACTACATCAGTATGTATACATTGAGGCATGAGCTGTTCATGATAGATAGGGAACTTAAACAATTATGGCAGATGAGCAATGACAAATATTTAGAGTGCATGGAGGAACTGCAACAGTTGCTTATCTGTTTAGCACAAATAACATGAGGAAGGTAGCTAGACCGTGGCCAACAAGGAAAATTGGAGATGCTTAGATCCAAAGGGCATACAAATTGACCAAGAGCAACAGACCTGAGGACTGGGAACAGTTTAGAATTCTGCAAAGGACAAGGGTATTGAATGAGGGGAAAAAATTATATAGAGTACAAATGAGCTTGCAGGGAGCATACTTACAGAAGCTTTAGTGTGAAGAGAAAAGAGGAGATAATTTAGGTCTGTTACAATAGGGAACAGAGTTGGTATATTTTGGTCTCTTTACAAGAAGAACAAATGCTTAAAATCATGAGGGGTATAGATAAGGTGAATGGCAAGTGTCTTTTCCTTAGGCTGGGGGATTTCAAGACTAAGGGGTATATTTAAGGAGAGGAGAAAGATTTAAAGGACAAGGGGCAAATATCCCCCAGTGGTTAGTGTGGAATGAACTGCCAGAGGAAACAGTGGATGTGGGCATAGTCACCAGTTGGTTACCACAGGGATCAGTGTTTGGACTCCAGCTATAGTAATGACTTAGATGAGGGAACTAAAGCAAATATTTCCATATTTGGAGACAACAAATCTGGGTGGGAGGGTGAATTGTGAGCAGGATGCAGAGAAGCTTCAATATGATTTAGACATTGAGTGGGCAAACATATGGTAGATGAAGTTAATATGAATAAGTGTGCAGTCATCTGTGGCAGCAAAATAGGAAGGTAATCTTCTCTATGGCAAGAGATTAGGAAAGAGGCAGTGCAACAAGACACTGTCCTTGTACAGTTGCCAAAAGTATACAGGTGTAACTGCTGAAGGCAAATGATATGCTGGTCTTCCTAGCAAGAGGATTTGAATACATGAATGTCTTGCTGCAATTGTATAGGGCACTGGTAAGACCACATGTGGAGTAAGGTCTGTAGTTTTATTCTTGGGGAAAGATATGGGCAGACCCTTTAGGATGGAGAAGTTTCTTCACCCAGACAGTAGTGATTCTATGGAATTCTGTCACAGCAATGGTTGAAACCAATCCACCATAGTTAAGAAAGTGTTAGATATGGCTTAGGTTTAAAAGGGATCAAAGCATATAGACCAACAGCAGGAACACAGTACTGAGTAGGATGATAAGCCATGATCATATTGAATGGTGCATCAGATTTGAAGAGCTGAATGGCATTCTCCTACTCCTATTTTCTAGGAGTTTGTGGCCACTTCAGGGTAGTCTACTGCAACAAGTGGCTAGAGGTCAAACAAGTTATGGTTCCTCATCTGATAGAAACCAACATGATTGTATGGGACTTTCCCCACAGACATCACTTGTGCTGTGTACAAGTAGGCAACAAAGGTTTGCACGGAAAACTGCTTGGATGTTTCAGTGTGAATAAAAGAAAAATCAATTCAGTGCACTAAGTATTATAAAACAAAGCACATGTTCTGCAGACCACACCTACAAAGGCCATTCCATGGTATCTACACTGGCTAAAAAATGTTACTCTGGATCAGTCTCCAAAAAAGAACAATTTAATTAACATATTAAATTTAAAATGACATGGTCACTGTTGTACAGCCAGAGGTCAAACGTTCTAGATAGAGCTGATGAGTGATGCCTTGATGACATTTCCTCCACAGTTGAAAATTGCTTCTTTGTTGATCTTGATTTGCTCAGGGTCATACAAGCCCAGGGCTAAATGGAGGGCTTGATTAGCTTGTTGTACAGATTGAAAATGGTCAGAGATCCACAGATTATAATCCCTCCTACCACCAAACCTGATAGCATCAGAGCCACAGCTCCTACTACTCCCACTACGATCTTCAGGTCCACACCATCTGCAGAAAACAAGTTGTTGGTTAGTTCTTGGCTTACTCAAATCTTCCCTGTACTAAGTGATTCTAGATCCTTACTGTGCTCAGGAGTTCCTTGTCCATTTGATATATTCTGGTTTTCAGTTTGCATTCTAGGAGCAAAGTCTGCAGACTCAGAAGCCAGGATTACCAAGGGTCCCATCTGAATTTCACCTTTCCTTAATTGGTCATCCTGAGATTGAAACACTAAACAGTGTGTGTTTATATGACATTTAACAGTTGAAATGCTGAAGTGTTGATGCAATCAGATGAAATTGGGAGTCAGTTAGCTGGATTGCTGATTTGCAGCAGAGTAACAAAAATGGCTTGGGATCATTACCTACAACAGTTGCCTTCTCAACCTTACCCCTTCCCCAAGCTATGATAACCCTCAGATTAAGCCAGTCATCTCATAACTTTAAACACCAAGGTAAAACAATAAAATATCCTGTCCCAGAAATACATACCAGCTGTTCTCTGCTGAAAGCCAACATTTCCTCTGCTGCCTCTGCAGTTCCCATGGTCACAGCACTGACAAATTTCATTCGATCCCTCTACAGAGATCCACCTGTGAAAGGGCAATTTTTCAGGTTGCTATCAATAATTTGTGGAGAAACCAGAGGTGAGGTACTTACTCATTTTCCGGTTTCTGGAAGAAGCAAGCTTTGTTGGCTGGATCTGGCACACTACCTATCTCAGTGACTTTTAAATTACAGGTGATGAAGACCTGCAATAAAAATCTCAGATCAGGAGATGCTATGATACTGTAAACTTCAAAACATTAACTGTTCAGAGATCAAAAGAAACAGCAATAACACTTTCTGGAATAACTTTTCCAGAGACAAAACAGACAATGAGAACTGCCTAAAGAAATTAAGAACAATGTTAACTAACCATCCTGGAAGCAACATAAACTGATTCCTAGAAGGGAGGAGATAACACTACTTGATACCCTGCCACCTCATGTCAAATGGGCAATTAAGATTCCCTCAGGACATCCCTGTAATTAAACCCTTTGTCTGCAGAAGGAAACTGGTGTCGAGCAGACAGTTAATGCCAAATCTAACAAGGAACAGGGAAATTATCAGAGGACAAGTTACAGACTTGCCTCCAGAAGTGGAATCAATGCTGTGGATGAACGAATCGAAAAGGATCAATGTCATGTCAAACTTCACAAGCCAAAATTCCATTAAGAATTCAACTTCAGGATTCTTTAGCAGAACTTCAAAGAACACGGCACAAGGACAACCAGAGACAGACCCTGTTGGTTTGACTAAACTATTAACCAATTAAGTGGCATTTAGCAACATGGAGGGGAGGCTTAGCTTGCTCACTTGAGTGGTCTTGTTTGCCTTATGCAAACAAACAGTTATGTTTTCTTATTTGATTGTAAAATTTCATAGAGCCAATTCAAAATGTAGTTTGTGGCAATTTAAAGACATGCAACTCCAAGTTGGATGACTCAAGTTTTACCCATTACTCCCAATCCATGTCAACTACCAAAAAATCCCTGAAAATAATCCCTTCCCTAAAATATTAGGGATATGGGACTGGATGTGTGCAGAATTAGACAGATGACTTAAAAATGGTGGTGAGGACCTGGAGATGAGAATCCCACTCCATTTTGCCATGGGGGTGGGGGAGGTGGGGAAAGGAGGAGGCGGCAGCAGCAGGGTGTGGATCACAAGTCAAAAACTCCCAACTCAGCCTGACCATTTGAAGTGTGTTCCATTCAAAGAGCCCATTTTCAATAGTCAGTGGGCCTTAACCAGAGCGGGAGCCACAATTACATCAAACACCCTTGGAGGGCAGATCAGGTCTGTTTCAATGGATCATGATCCAAAGTGGGCTGGGATTTAAAAATGCTGAATCACATCTTACTGATTAACAAACACCCCCATTGGACTTTCATCAGCCAACCGATAAAAACATCTGGTGAAAAACATCTGTTCCTGCAATTTTAATCAAGATACTTGCTGACATTAATGGTTATAACAGCTGAGGTCATTATGAATACTATGTTTTTGTAATTTTGCTCTGCCATCAGCTAGGTTCGGAAAGTTTTAATGAGGCCATGGAGGGAATAACTTTGACATTGTTAAAAACAAACTTGCATTTAAACTTTAAACACATGAAACTTGGAATGAATTTAATATTCTATGAACTGAATTCCCCACCCCCCAGGGCATTCATTCTTGACATGTTCAATTAAATTTTAGAACTTTAACATTTTATTTTTATACGAGTCCAGAAGGCTGCCTGTCATGAATATGGAAAAGTTACTGTGCAGGTAGCATAGTGCAAATTGAATAGTAAGGCGGCCTGAGTGCTTAAGGCAATTTTGACAATGTTTGAGATCTGAGGCAAGCCTTCTAACCAACCCATCTCAGCATGCAATCATCCACATGCTGCCTACACTTCTTAGTGGGCTTACAATCCCACCCACCATTAGCAAAAATTTGGGCATTAGAGTCCTTTAAACCCAAGCAGTCTGCCAAATCAGGAAGTTTCCTGATTCTAGTGACAGTAAGACAACATCTCCCTATCAACAGAAAGCAACCACTTCATGGCACCAAGTCCATAGTAAACCAACCATTACCAATCTCCCACTATTATTAAAGCCCTGGAAGTTTACTTCTCACTGTTATTTATGTAGCTTTTGCAAACTACTTTTGAAGCTGCTCAGCTTTTCAGCCAGTGCATCGTTGATCAGCTCTGTATCCTCTAGTTACTAGACTTCTGAATAGTGGAACATTGTTTCTCCTTACCTCAACAAGCCCCTGAATTGAGCTGTTCAATTCAACCCCAACTTCTACATGGAGAGCAATCCCAGCAGTACATTGCTCTGGAGGTGTTAGTTAACTCAGATGATCTTACCAAACTTCTTCCATTCAAAAATCTGAATGCACCCAGGTTGATCTGGAGTGTGTTCTGATGAGCTCTTGGAGACACAAAAGAAGAACAGGAATCACTAGCTCTACTATCCATAAGGCAGCTGGAAAGAATCGGACAGAATACATCAGTGTACTAATAAGATTGTTAGCCTTGGGCTGAAGCATGTTAATTAAAGTACAGCCTCACCCACTGAAATCAATGAGTTGGTATCTGGGAGTAGAATCCTTGTCTGGAGTCAACGTTGCCACACAGTTATCAACATAAAGCCGCAATGGTTCGTGGCCTATAGTCATGACAGAGGCCTCAATATGGATAAGTTCTCCCAAATAGTAGACATTTGATACACGCTCTGCATCCCACTTATCTGTAAAGTGGGAGAAAAAGCCAAAGGTACTACAGGCACTTCAGTTTAAACTCAACTAGTTTCTGAAATTCCAGCTATCATTTAAACAAGCATCTTGGTCCTTACCATTCATCTGTCGCAGGGAATACGACAAAAATCCTCCACCATTCGAGAGTGATTTAAAGGGGAGCCAAGTGGGCCAGACAGCTTGACTGTTAACATCATCCTTCCTACCAGGAGGAAAGACCATCAACTTCCAATTTACACTGAAAACCAGAACAGACACAAGGTCCTAGGAAATATTACCTGGGGTAATGGCATTCAATGAGGGCAATGTCTAAACTAGTTCGCACAATGGCCAGCCTAGGTTCCTTTAGCATATAGTACAGGTGGGTAGAGTAGAGGAGATGGTGCTCAGTGACCTGAAAAGTAGTAACTGTTAATAACATTAGTGGTAACATTAGTTAAGAATCTAAAACACAAATAAAAAGAGCAAGTAATTTGCTTCTTACTATTCCCCTAAAAAGGAAAAACTACAGAGAGAAAGGAAAGTAAAAAGGCAAGACAAAACAAAACATATTGATAGAGTGGAATTGGTAGACTATCTTACCATTACAAGATTAGTGCCACAGTCAGAGAGATGATAGTAGAAGAGCACAATATTCATCCAAGTGTCTACGTGTGTGAAGGGGCACCCTAGAGGCCCTAGGGTCAAATCTACAGCCTGGATTAAGTGGCCATTTCCAAATAGGTCTAGCTTGGCTACCACCAGTAATGCCTGCTTCCCACACAGAGCCACAATAGCATGCAATGAGGAGGAGTGGGAAACACTTGTAATAGTGGCAAGAACCCAATCACTAGGAATTGGGTCAGGAGCAGGGGTCACCTTGAACCTGCCCTTCAGAATCTTTTGTTGTATTAAGTATTCACTATGATTACAACAAACTACTCCAACTGAAAAAAGTACTAAAAACAAGGACCACATCATTAACCACCCTTCCTACACACTGCTAAATACAAATAGCCAGCAAATTATAATTTGTTTGCTTATATTCAGCTCAACCCACAATAACCCTCCCATTTCTTATCCAATAGGAAGTTTCTAAAGAATATACAGCCATTAGAATCAATTATAATAATCACATGTTTTAGCATCATCTGTCCTGCTAATGTCATTCTGTCCAAGAGCTCAAATTAGGACCATGATGGGTGAGTTTCCCCTTTCAGTTACTTTAATAAAAATTATTAAATCATCACATGGGAACATTTAAGAACTTAAGCAATTAAATGGCCCCACAGTATTAAATTTAAAATTATGATAAAGCACGAGCAATGTGCCTCAATGACTACCAGCCAGTGGCTCTGAGCTTAATAATCATGAAGTGCTTTGAGAGGCTTGTCACGGCTCACATCAACTCCAGTCTCCCAACCTACCTCAATTTGCTTACCAATGTAGCAGGTCCACAGCTGTTAACATTTCCCTAGCCCTTTACTCATCCCTGGAACACCTGGACAATGAAGACACCTACGTCAGACTCTAGCTCATTGACTACAACTCCACCTTCAACACCATTATCCCCCTCCAGACTGATCTCAAAACTGCGTGACCTTGGTCTCGGCTTCGGCCTCTGCAACTGGATCCTCAGCTTTCTGACCCATAGGCCACAATCAGTGAGGATAGGTAACTGCACCTCCTCCATGATAACACTCAACACTGGAGCCCCTCAAGAATGTGTCCTCGGCCTCCTACTGTACTCCCTGTACACCCACAACTGTGTTGTCAATTTCTGAACAAATGCCATCTACAAGTTCGCTAACAAGACCACCGTAGTGGGACAGATATCTAACAACAAGGAGTCATAATATAGATGGGAGATAGAGGGCTTGGTGACGTGGTGTGATGAGAACAACCTCTCTCTCAACATCAGCAAAACTAAAGAACTGACCATTGACTTCAGAAAGAAAGGAGGAGAACATGCCCCCATCTACATCGATAGAACTGTGGTTGAGAGGGTGAAGAGCATCAAGTTCCTCAGAGTGAAAATAACCAACAAACTGTCCTGAACTTCCCATGTGGATACGATGGTCAAAAAGGCACAACAACACCTCTTCTTCCTGAGGCTGCTCAGGAAATTTTGCCGTGTCCATAATGACCCTCACCAACTTCTATAAATGCACCATAGAAAGGATACTGTGTGGGTGCATAATGGCCTGATATGCCAATTTCTCTGCCCAGGACTGTAAGAAACTACAGAAAATGGTGTGCACAGCCTAGACCATCGTGGAAGCCAATCTTCCATCCATGGACTCCATTTACATGGCTCGCTGCTGCGGTAAGACTGCCAATATCATCAAAGACCCATCACACCCCAGTAATGATCTCCGACAACCTCTTCCATCAGGCAGAAGATACAGAAGCCTGAACACACGCACCAGCAGGTTCAGGAACAGCTTCTTCCCAGCCGTTATTAGAGTGATGAATGGACTCTCTAGCCTGAAACAATGCTGATCTTGCTAACGTTGATCTCACTTAGTGCACGCCTCGTGCAATGTAACCTGTACGCCTCTGTCTAACTCTTTTTATAATCTCTGATCTATACATCCTTGCTTACTATAATCTGCCTGTACTGCTCGTAAACAAAGCTTTTCACTGTACTTCTGCACATGCAACAATAAATCAATCAATCGATAAAGTTAACTGCAGATCCTTATCAAATAATTCTGTTTATTAAATCTACTATGCCCTCCTATTCTGGGCAAGTGAACACCGACATAGCTATAGAATTAAAGCAGGTGGGCAGCTTGGTCAAATACCCGTTTTCTGCTCTCTGTCTGGGCTCTTTGGGTGGCCATCATGGTGAGCCCAGGGACTGATCCATGAAGAGTTGGTCTCCATACGTGGCCAGCCAAATGTCAGGAGTATGAGACTGAACACCTACATTGCGGCAAAAATGCCGGAAACAGTAAGGAATCTCAAATCCTCTCCTTTAAAGCCACATTTCTCATTATGGCGGATGGAATTGGGGCAGGTTGAGGTTAGTGCATTTTCATCTGCTCCACTGAAATCGGATTTGGAGTCCCTGATATCTGGAACCGGAAACAGTGGATATTAGGAACAGTGGGGATTAGACTAGGGAATAGGCCTATTCTCAGTACATTTCTCGTGAATAACCAGAGTACCACTTTGAAGATCTGAGGGCTGCAGATATGGTCCCAAGACACCTTGAGAATGGTATTTGTTGGGGTGTCAAGTTCCTTTTGGAAGGTGAAGGAGCAAAGAGTGGTGATTTGCCCCTGTTATGCACAGAGGCAGCTGTCAGTGAAAAGACTTACTAACAGCCAGGAATTCTTTCAGCACTCTACTACAATTAGCTAATTGAGTTGGACAAAAAAAGTTTGTGCACTGCTGTCACTGATGGAATCAGCCCCGGCAGGTCACAAATTACAACATCTCACACCAATAAATGAGACAAATTAATTTTAGCACTCCATTCCATGGAGTTGTTTGGTGGGGACAATGTAGAAGGATCCTGAAGAAGGGTAATACTTGAAATACTGATTGCTCCTTTCCTCCAGATGCTGCCTGGCGTGCTGTGTTCTTCCAGCCTCCTGTTTGTCTCCATTGGATTACAGCATGTGCAGTTTTTTTTTGTCTCTTGAGGGGCTTTTCCTCTGATTACAACCTGCGCTGTACCTTCTCAATGGGGGCTGTTTGTTGACCCTGTTCCCAGTCTCCCAGTACTGACATCATTCATTCAAATGAGTTTGGAGAAGGATGTTGACTGACTAGACCCTGGTGTAGTAAACGCCAAAATGACTAGCTGATTTCCGCAGTGGGTTCAGTAGATGGCAGTCTGTTTGTTCTATCTAAAAATGGTTTGCGCCGTTTTACTAAGTTGATTCTGAACTTTCCAGGATGTGGTTACCAGCCCTGTTCCGCCTACACTACCCTTCCTCTTGCAAGAAATTCAACTGCCTTGAACGCACATTCGAAGCCTTTCTCTGGTGAAGATGTATAGGTATAATTAAAGGCAGAAGATCATTGCTGTTGCCTCTTCATCCCCACATCAGCTGACCAAGATGACCATCTCTGTGGACTTCGAGGAGTGTCTGAAGGACTCCTTAAAGTTCAGGTAGGACCGAGTCATATTCAGCCTCAGGTTAAAAGGTTGATATTCTGGAAGAGGTATGTCGCAACATAACCCACCATCTCTACTGTCCACTACACTCTTTTCATGATGAACTGCTTACTAAATTGTTTCTTGTCCCATAATTCCAAAATTATTTTAAACACTTTAAACCAAATTGTACTAAGATCCACAAATTCATTGGTTTAAAACTAATCACTTGCATAAACCTCCTTCTGGTTCAGATGATCGAACATGAGAAGAGGTTAATCATTGGTTCTCTGACCTCCTAGAATAATAGTATACAGAAGAAGACGGTTCTTGTTGCATAGTGGTAAAGTCCATACCTCTACTCTACCGAGTTCAAGTCCCCTGAGCCAGATGTGGAGCATCTCTGAACAGGTTGATTAATAAATACCTACAGCATTTAAGGTAGTTAATTAGTCCACTGTGCTGGCTCTTTGACAGACTTGAATACTAAATTTTGACAATAGTCTGCTGTACTGTGTTAGACATAAACGAAGCTGTTACCCACTATGCAGTGAAAACTTAACACTTCCACCTGGTTGTTTTGTTGCGTAGTATCTTTCATTGTATTAACTTGTTTGAAGAAATTGATGGAAGTGTCACAAATTGGTCTAGGCTGTAACTTGTGAATCCATTCGAGATTGTGCTGTTGGTCAAAAGCTTGTTCTGCCTGCCAGACAAAACCTGTATCGTCAGAAATATTGTCCTTTGCGTGAGCAGTTAGACTGAGATCTTGTATGCCCTATCAGATGAGATTAGTGATGTTGTGACACTACTGGAAGAGAAGGGGATTTATTCCATGTTGTCCTTGGCCAATATTTCTCCTTCAATCAACACCTGAAAACAAAGAATTTATTCATTATCTCGTTGCTGTTTGCAGGATCTTACTTTATGCAAATCACTATTTAAATGAGTGGCCTCATTTCAAAAGTGGTTTATTAGTTTGAGGGGCTTTGAGTCATCCTTAAGTAGTGAAAGATGCTATAAAAGTACAAGTTTTTTCCTGTCCTTTCCCTATTTGATCAGTCTTTCTTTTGTTAGCATTGCTGTGAACACATTTTTTGTCCAAAACTGCAATTAGACCATCCTGTGCACTCTTCCTTATCAATGCATTGGCTTCTATTTTAGCTCACACTTTACCAGGATGTTAAAGTGTGTGGAACTCCTTACCTGTTTACCCTTTCAATTTTTCAGGCTTCTTACTCATGGCTCATTTGGTGCACCCTGGTTTCTGGGTTCAAGTCATACTCCAGGAACCTGGAGCACAAAAATCAGACTGACAATCACAGTTGCACTGTCACAAGTGCCACTTTTCAAATGAGGTGTTGAACCAAGGTCCCATTTGTCCTGTCAGCTGAACTTAAAAGACTTGTTGGCGCTATGTCAGTGATAGAAATGAGTAATTTCTGGCTGCAAGCTCTGGTTTCGAATGTGGATACAGCTGACCCAGCTCCCTCTATGCCTCCAAGCAGCTGGTAGTGTACACCAGTGGGCCCATCCTGACATCTCAACTTGGCTGATAAACTAAACTAAGTGAGGGTAGCATCAGCTTCATTGGTGTTAGTACAACAGTCCTCAAAGTGCATGAGATCTGGAATAATGGTCTGGAATAAGAGTCAGGCCATCCTAACAAGCAGGCAATGGCTCTGAAGGCAGACAACATTAAGATGTGTGTTACATTCAGGACATTCTCCTGATGAAATGGACTTGTAGGCAGTCACTTCGGATAAGATTGGGACCCTACCACTTATTATCCTATTGTCAGCAAAGAAACCTTCTTTCAAATTAGCTGCTTACAATAGAAGTTACTGGTACATCCAAACCACGGGAAGAGGAGAGAACCTGAAGAAGAGCAGGGGACATCACACTAGTAACCTGACCGAAAGGCTCTGTGACATCTTCCTTGCTGGAATATTCTATCTGTGATCGCAACTAAATAAGCAGAGAATCAATGAATGTACTCAAATGTAAATAAATTAACATTACTTTGGTTATCTACTTCAGACAGGAGTGGAAGCAAGATCTAGTAAACACATTTAATTAATTCTAGAAACATTAGGGACAGAAGAAGGTAACTCTGTTCATTAAGCCTACTGTACCATAAAATTAGGTCATGGTTGATCTACAAATCAACACCATTTACTCACCTCTGGCCCATTTCTCTTTATAGCTTTACTGTAGTCAACATGGAGGTAGATACTTACAGATATTAGGAGACCACATTGCAAGTGAAATTTAATGCAGAGAACGGTGATATTATTCACTTTGATAGGCACACTAAAGGTAGGAATATGAACTAGAAGGTACAATTTTACAGGGGATGCAGAAACTAAGAGATTTGGTACTGTAATGAAATCTTGGAAGATGGCAGGTCTGGTTGAGAAGGCTATTAAAATAAAATGAGATCTTTAACATTATTAATGGGGAAATCAAGTATAAAAGCAAAGAAGTTATGGTAATCCTTTTAAAGTCACAGTTATCACTGCTAGAAGAGTTCATGATAAAAGGAAGGGTGATGGGCAAAAGGACCAAAGATGCCTTTAGGAAATGTTAACTTATGCAGTGAGCTGTCATGATTTGGAATGTTGAAACGGAAAAAAATGTATAGTTCCATGAAGAAAGAGTGGGTGAGTGAATTAATTATGTAGCTCTATGAAATAGTCAGCCAGTTACTCCTAATTCCCCCAACCATTCTCCCATGGCCTGCAATTGTTTTCTCCCAGTAGTTATTCACCTCCCTTTGGAGCTACTGGAATAGTTTTTACTGGAGCAGAGGCCAAAGGAAATTTAACAGCTGCTTTTAAATTATTAACTTGGGAGATTTGTTTATTGTGCTGGGGAAATCCATGACGAGGGACCATCGACTGGAAATTGCAAGTAAGAGAGGCTAGGGAAGAGTAGTTAGGGAAGATGGAGGACATAACAACCGCATAAAAATTTCAAACACACCGAGAAGAAGGCAGAGAGCAAGGCAGTAGGATTAATTTTAGATGTATTCAGAGCTTTGAAGAGAGCACACACATGGAATTCATTTTTTGTATTGACACAGGATTATTTGAGAAGTGAC